TGTTAACAATATAAGAGTTTGACTAAATGTTTGATAAAAGATATTTTATTCTCAAAATTATTTTTATTTATCATTTTCAAATACAGTATACACTGTATATTCATACATACATATATATACTGTATAGCACTCGACTTCATATTATTTTTACATTAAATAGAAAAGTACTTTAAAATAAAATATAAAAAACATAATATATATATATATATATATATATTAATAGCAATAATATATTATATATATATTTTTCTTATATACTATATATATATAAATTTATATAATACTTAAAAGTTATGGCAATAGACGACTTGTATTATATAATAGTATAGGAGTCCCGGATATAAACAATAATAGCATTTTACTGTACATAATAAATCAATAGTTTATATATACAGTAGTTTTATACATATACAGTCATATATATATATATATATAGATTTTTTAAGAAAAGTATAGACCAAATACAATGGGTTTAAATATATATATATTTATTTTAAGAAAAAAAATATTAATAATAATGAATTATACTTATATTTAGGATATTTGTCTAGAGTCTAGACTAATAATAAATAGTTTAAATTTAAATTAAAAACATACACACTATGTTAATTAATATAGATATATATATATGATATATACGTATATGTATATACGTGGCTATAATTTAAAATGAATTTATTTTATTATTATTATTATTTTGGCAAAAAATAGTTATATACATTATTATAGTTATTACTACTATTTTATAGACTTTCACACACAAACACACTAATATATATATATATATATAAATAGTTAAATAAATGCAAATTAATTAGCATATTAAATATATATATATATATTATATGACATTTTCAATGTCATTCATATATTTTTAATATATACAATATATATAATAATAATAATAATTTAAAATATTATTATGTTTATTATAATACCAATTATTTTTAATAATTTTGAACTTAATAATTAGTTTCTCACATATAATTAATAATAAATATACTAATTTTGTTGTTGTTGTTTATAAAAAAAGATTATGTGATCTATGTCCACATTTTTACGATTATAATGTATAATAGTTTTTAAAAATTATTTCCACAATAATAATAATAATATGAAAAAATTATTATTACTGTTGTGTGTGTGTTTACAGTCATTAAAAACTACCAATTGTTTTATAATGACCAACAAATTACAGTAAATCTACTAAAAAATTGTGAACCAAAAAATATAATAATAATAATAATAATAGCAATAAACTACAACATAAATAAAAACAAAATAAATAATCGCTTCTCAAACCAAAAAAAAATTTTTTTAGTCGACATTACATAGAATAAGTGTAAAATAATAATTTTATTATATATTTTATTTAAAAATTATTATTATTATTATTATTAGTATTATTAGTATTACTAGTATTTATATTTAATAAGTGTTGAAAAAAAATTAAACAATTTTCTTGTGTTAAACAACAGTAATAATAATAATAATTGTATAAAAAATTTTCACTCGCTTTCACTAACTATATCTCATTGTATACATAAATACATTTATTATAAATAAAGTACTGTATATATATACTGTATATACTGTATATATCTAATAATATTTAGTGTTGTGTTCAATGTTTCACTGCATTTATGATTCATTACATAATGATATCTATGAGAGAAAGAGAGTTGTTTGTACTGTACTTTGGATAGTGTTGTGGTGGAGGAACTGGTGATGACTGTCCCCCTCACATACAATGCTCACACACACACACTCACAATACAACCATTTTTAACCTAAAAGTTCCCATAAAGTACTGGTGCGCTCATGAAATGTTCATTGAAAACGATAAGAAACATCACTTAAAAACTATATATTATATGATATACGAGTATATACTGGTATACAATATATATATATATATATAATAATTATTATTATGAAACAGTATATAATTTTTCAGTGTTTTTTGACGAGCATTTAAACAAAATTTTTATATATATTATACATATATGTATATAAATAAAGTACTATCTATTATATAATTTATTATCCATTTTTGTTTAGGCCTTTACATTTTTCTCACTAACTTTCTCAATCATTAAAATATTTAATATATATCATAATGTTATGAAAGAGAGAGAGAGAGAGAGAGAGAGAGAGAGAGAGCAATATATACAAAGTCATTATGAAAGCTAAATATCACTGACTTTTAGTCATATTATTATTATTATTATAAAATCATTAAAATATTATTTTTTCTACTCTATATTATTGCTATGAAAATACAATATATAATATATGTATAATAAGTTATGAATTTTATTGTTTATTAAAATATATTTATATCTAAAGTCTATATATAACTTAACTAAAACATAATAAATTAACTCAAAAAAAAAGTGAATTAATTTATTTTTAATGTACATTAAATGATTGTTAGCAATTACTATTATATAACTATAAATTATTTTATATTAATTATAATTGTAAAATGTTTTAAAAAGATTATATTAGACTAAAAAAATAAAATTAATTAAATTAAATGCAAAAATAAAAACTATTAACTAAAAACTTTTTTTTTAAATAAAAATAATAAAATGTGTTTTAGATTTAAAAAGTTTAAAATATATATAAATTACTATTATATTCATTAAATATTTAATTTAGTTTATAAATAAAACTTTATTTCTGGATATTATTATTATTTATTTGTATAAAAAATAATTATTTTCTTTTAAAAAACAAAAATATTATAAAATTGTGGAAATTAACTAAAAAAATAACTTTTTTAATTAGATTATAATATTCAACATTAAATGCCAGTTTAATTAACACAAAAAATAGATTTGAATTAAAAAGAAAATATTATTTATTTATTTTTATTAGTTATTTATACAGTTTTTCTGTCAGTTTAATCAAAAAAATATTTTTTTTCATATAATTATGTGAAACTTGTTTTATAATTTGTTTTCTTTAATACAGATTAATAGTATATTAATTTAAAATAATTGCTGTAACGAAAAAAACTTTTTTGCATTTATTTATTTGTTAAATTTGATAATTTACTGTCTAATATAAAAAGTATAGTATTTTATTTTATTTATTTTTTTTATAAAAAAAAGCTATGTCCAACATTTATCTCATTGTTAACTCTCTCTCTCTCTCTCTCTCTCTCTCTCTCTCTCTCTCTCTCTCTCTCTCTCTCTCTCTCTCTTTATCAAATTACAGTATATATATATAAATATTTAATTGACAAAATTAGTATCATTTTAATTGTCACCAGTATTTTAATTTGTATAAAATAGTTTCATTAGTAGGCTATTGAATTAATACTGTATATAAAAATATATATAAATAAAATAATAGCATTTTACTATAAAACAGTAATAGGAAAAAATATTTATATTATTTAATAATAATAATAATATAAATTACTTACTGTGTTTTAATTATAAGATTGTAGACACACACACACACACACACACACACACACACACACACACACACACACACACACACACACACACACACACACACACACATACATACATACATACACTCATAGTACTTACATTTAAGTTAACATAAAGCCATACAAACCCATACATCACCCCAGGCCTACACTCTCATCAATGCATTATTATTATTATAATTATAATATTACTATTGAATATTATATGATAATAAATAAATCCATTGAAAATATATTGTTAACATAAGTTATATTATTATTATTTTTTAATAAAAAAAGACACGAATTTTAAAGATAATTTAGTTTATTTTTATGTGTTGGCTAATTAATAATAGGTTAGTTAATTATGAGACCAAAAATAAAATAAAATCTTATTATATCTTATTATTATTATTATTATATAAAAATTAAAAGTAAGTCAATTGTAAATAATTGTGTGGACTCTATGGCTAATGAGTGGACAGGTAGTTAACTATTTTTTTTAAATTCATTATACTATGAAATTTTTGAAAAAATAAATTATATATTTTTATAATATTTTAGTTGAAAATAATACATAAATTAAAATGATGTGTTTATTTCATGCAAATATATAATTAGATAAAAAATAACTGAATATAAATAGTAAAACATGTTTTTCTGTATGTTTTTTCTCAATAATACTAAATAATTATTATTTAATACTATTAACAAAACAATTATTATTATTTTTTATTATTATATTATTGTTATTATAATAGATTAGAAATTTATAATTATATTTGCAATTATTAAAGTCGTATTTTTTTATTGCAAATAATTAATTTACATTTAAATCTATTATATTTAAATAGCAAACACACACATAAAGATATATATATATAATAATGTATTTTTATATATAAAATTAAAGTTAAATATATAATAAAAATTCACTACACATTAATATTACTATAATAAACATAATTATTATTATTATATAAATATGTCATAACCTCTCTCTCTCTCTCTCTCTCTCTCTCTCTCTCTCTCTCTCTCTCTCTCTCTCTCTCTCATAATCAATATTTAACATTAACTTTATAAACAAAACAAAAATAATATATTAATTTATTATTAATAATAATACATTATTATTATAAAAAAAACAAACGGTTTCAATATATATATATACCTGTTTATAATATATACTAAATATAATGTTTATTGAAATAGGTATATATATATATACTATACAATACTACTATATAATTACTGGGTTTATTGCATTAACAATATTATAATATAATTTTTTTTGCTGTGTATAATGCAATTATTATAATAAGTGTGTGTTTGTGTATTATGTATATAGTAGTATAAACTATATTTTAAATGATTAGCTTGGATAATTATTTTATTTGCACTAAAAAAAACAAACAAAAAAATTAAGCACATTTTTATAAAAATCAATACTAAATACCACTAAATATATTAACCAAAACAAACAAAATTATTTAAAAATGATTTATTTATTTATATATTTAATTTTTTTCTCTCTCTCTATCTAATCAATCAGGGGTTTCGGTTTTGTGACATTTGCCGCACCGGACGCTGTGGACAAAGTGCTAACACAGGGACCCCATGAGTTGGATGGCAAAAAGGTGGGTGCCATTAGCTAAAACAGTTTTATTTTAATAAATATTTATAGTATAGTATAATTATGATTGAATTGAATGAATTGAAATGGACAGTTGTTTTTATTTGACAGTTGTTTAATATATATATATATACTGTCCATAACTAAACATAATTAGTGAACGAAAATATAATTTAAAAAAATAGATAGTTAGACATTATGCAAATATTTTAGTTATATATATATATTAAATTAATATATAGATATATACAGTTATATTTCTATAAATAATAAATACTACATTATTATTATTATTATTATTATTATAAACAAATCTGAAAATAAAATTATCATTACATATATATATATATATCTTTAGAATATATATATAAAACATAATTTATTTATATACTATACTATAATATTTATAATGTATATTCAAAATAAAAAAAAATAAAATCATAAGTAATAACAAGTAATAATGATTTTTATGTTTTTATTATTTCATTTAATTTTTTTTCTTTCATCTCTTATATGATGTCTCTGCCCATCAAAAAAAATGCTCATCAAAAACGATTGAAACGTTTGGATACATCAAACATACACTCACTCACTCAACACCAACAAAATTACATCAAAAAATAAAACAACAACAAAAAAACTACAATCAAACTGAAAATGAAAACTATATATATATAACCCAAACAAAACAAAAAACAACAAAATATTGTTTCATATGCCGACCATGTATTTGATGTGTGTGTGTGCATATACTGGTGAACCCAACCTAACCATACCATGTCATTCATCTATTGTATGCCCTTTACTTTCACTACTACTACTACTACTACATGTGCACAATGTGTGTTATATATATATGTGTGTATGTATTGTTATGTATCGATCAGATCGATCCGAAAATTGCATTTCCCAAAAGGGCACACCCAAAGGTAAGACCACTATATTATATATATTTTTTATATATATATATAGTTTATATAAGATATTGTTCACCAACAAAAAAAATTATATAATTCATACACTAATACACACTAAAAAAACATTAAACAAAAAAAACATTATTATCAATATATATATATATATAAAACATATAGTCATTAAACATTATTTGTTTGCTAGGTTAGGTGTGCGCAATGTATATACAGTATATATATATATATATATATATATGTATTAATATACTGTGTATATGGCCAAGGATGTCTATGCATTAGACATACCGGTGCGCGCTTATTATTATTTTAAATCTATAATTGTAAACATTAAAGAATATTCTGTATATTCAATATAGACACGTGTTTTATTTGGGTTTAATTACATAATACACCGGTTCTACTGTATTGTTAAGGCATGTGCGCGTATAAGCACACGTGTGTTGTCTACCCAATTGTATCTATCTATGCCTTCCCCCTTTCCACACATAAACACATACATAGTTTGGCCATACCTGGTGTCTATCTATGTGTGTGTGTGTGTGTGTGTGTGTGTGTGTGTGTTTGTGGATAATAAAGCAACCAACAACATGATAATAAAAACACACACACACATTGTCTAACATTTAGCTTAATATTAGATTTAATTTTTTTTTATAGATACAATATTTTTGTTTTATTTTTATTTTTTGCTTATTTAATGATTGTGTGGTCTTACTTGGGGGTTATACTGTATTACAGTTTATATATATTATGATAAGTGCGCCTAAAAAGCAATAATCAGTGATTTATTTGGTCGATTCAATAGTTAATAGCATTTTGTTGTTGTTGTTGTTGTATTATTGTTGGCTTTTTTGTATTAGTTTTTTCTAATATATATAATGTATAAACAAAAAGTAAAAAAAACAATTTTTTTATATATAAAATAAATCTGCAAAATATTAATATATTAAACAATAGTAAAACTATTAAGTATTTTAATATTAAATATTTTAACTAATACATCTAGCTAATTTTTAAAAAACAAACATTAAGATTTAGATAATATTTTTGAAAGATATATTTATCATAAAAAAATTTGTTTGTCTTATTATATTTTTCATATATAATATATATATATCTATAGCTATTATTTAGATATAAATTTTTAAAAACTATTTCCAATGCTATTCTATGCCATAACAACAACAATAACAGCAACAAAACTATGAGATTATAAACATTTATTGACTAATTTTTTTAACATATAGTTTATGCTTATGTTTATCTCAATGTATAATATATATAATATAAACAAATAAAAATAACTAAATGTTAACAAAACAAAAAAATTATACTAACTGTAGACTATAAGTCTATCAACTAACTAACTAACTAACTATGATATTATTTATTAAGATTTAGATATCTAATGTATAGCTGTAGATAAAAAAATTAGATAACTGTCCCCATCCTATAAGGATATGATAATAACTATTTGAAAGAGAGAGCACAGTTATCTAACTTATTTTTTTGTTGTTGGCACCCTCATAAAAATTAAGGTTACCGATCCCTTAAAAAAATAAATCACTATCAATAAAGTTACAGTATATTTATTATATACACTATTATACTATATAAGAAAATAAAAACTTATTGATATTAATTTATATATACATTTGAAAATGTTTGTAGATTTCCGACACAGAGATCTGATAATTAATTTTTTTTTGTAGTTTCAATGAGAGAAAGAGAGATTTTTTTTGTACTCTCAGTTGTTTTTTTTTAATATATTTTGAATTATTATTATATGACATAATATAATATATATATATATATGTATAATATCTTTAATATAAATACAGTTTAATAAAGTTTATGAAGTTGTATGAAGTTTATGAAGTGATACCAAAAAAAAAAGCAATTAATATATACTTATTGAGTGTTTGTATTAGAGATTAGCAAAAAAAGAGATTAGAAATTTTGTTTTATATATAAGAAAGTTTGTGATAAAAAAATTTTTTTTATACAATATATCAATTGATATATTGTCTCTCAAATATTTAATACATATATGATATCTCTTTATTTATATATACTTTCTCTCAAAACGTAAAATCCAATACATGATATTACACTTAAATATACGACAACAACAAAACAAAGTTGTTTTTATATACAAACAGAGAGAGAGAGAGAGAAAAAAATTATATTAAATAAAAAAACTTGTTTCACATGTGCTTATAATAAACTGAAATCAATTATATATATACAGTATATGAATTAATATATAAATTAAACAGTATATAAATAGATAATATATATATATATATATATTAAATATATATAAGTGATACAAATTAACCAACAAATCCTTGAAAAATTAAACGATTGATAAATGATTTCCTCAAAAAAAAACTTTTTTATTTGCAAAATAAAAAATCAAAATTAGTGAGAAAATTACGGGAAAATATTTTCTCCTAATATATATTAATATATTTTTATTTATTTATCAATAGATGCATGGATTTAATTTGTGTGATAATTATTATTTAAAATACAAAGTTCACTGTATTTATTATTATTAAAATTGAAAAACCAAAAATATTTTCAAAAAAAAACAAATTAAACCAAATTATTAATCATAATAATTAATAGACATCTATACTAAGGACTATGCTATAAATATATATATATATATAAATTTAAATATATAAAAAATAATTAATTTTTTAACAAAATTGACTTAAAATATTTGTTTTACATAAACTTAAAGAAAATAAATAAATAAATATAATTTATGATAATTTATCCTAGTAGAAAATTATATTTTCAAAAAAACATGTTTATTAGTGATAATTATTTTTTTTGAGTATATATTTATAACGTGAGTTAAGTTAAATATTTAATAGATATATTTGCCATTTATGCCTAAAGTACTATATATATGCTATATATATATATTATAGACACTTATATCGTCGATAAATAAATAAAATATATTTTCAAAAAATAAATAAATAATTTTTTTTCAGCAATTTAAAATTAAATGATTTCATTAAAATTACTTTTTTATTATTTGTATAGTAATTTTGTTTGGGTAATTATTTTTTTTCCTAATAGAAAAAATAAAAATAAAATTTAAATTATATATAATTTATACACACATTCTATAAGATTGATTCATCAATAAAATTTAGCACAAATAAAATGTTATAATCAATTTAATTTATCATCCCCAATAATATTGAATAATATATATAAAAACACACACAAAATAAATATATACTATAAATGATAAATAGATGAAAAAATATTGAATGCATTTCAGAGAGAGAGAGAGAGAGAGAGAGAGAGAGAGAGAGAGAGAGAGAGAGAGAGAAATAAAATAAAACTAAATAAATATTGTCTCCCATATTATACTAAATACAGTATAAATACACTACTCTATATATATATATATATACTTTATATTATATACCAGTATATATATATCAATAGATATATGGGATTTTCAATACAGCATTATTTATATGTCATAAAAGTATCTCTACTTTTTTTTTTATTTTTTAAAACTCAATTTGCATTTCAATTGCAATTTGAAAATAGCTTTTCACAGACATTTGAATTTTCAAACACTTATTTAAAAGTCAATTTCATTTTATTGATAGTACTGTGTGTTAAATGGCATTTATTGCTAGTATTTTATTATTATTATTATTATTATTATTATTATTATTATTATTATTATTATTATTATTATTATTATTATTATTATTATTATTATTATTATCAATACTACTACTACTACTACTACTACTACTGCAGTATTATAATATAATATAACTTTTATAAGTATTTATTTAAAATAATAATTATATTCATCGCTTGATTTTTTTTTATATAAACATTTATCTAATATAAAATATTTATTGAAAATAAATAAATAATAGTAAATAAATTATATAGATTTAGACTACAAAAATTAATGATAAGATATTATATACTGTATATAATTTAACTAAACATTAAAATTTATTATAATATTAAAATAATATATATAAACTTAATATAAATTGACAGTTAAAAAACTTTTTATATGTAAAAAACCAATGACATGTTTAAAAGTATTATTATTATTATTATTACAGTATAATCTCGATGATTACAATAGATTTCAGTCAAGTATCACTGATTTTTTATTATTATTATACTGTATTATACAGTATATTATATATATATATATATATATAATAGTCACTGGGATCAGTATTGTAAAATGGACAGGGATTGTATGTTAGTAGGCGAAACTATGATATAAAAAAATAATATATTTATAGTAATAGAAAATTTTATTATTATTTTTTTGTTGTTGTTGAAAAATATTGGTAATTTTATTTTTATATGACATTTATATACTATAGACTTATCTATATTGTGTTTTATATATATATATATATATATTGATAGGTATTATATATTTTTTATTGACCACTATTTGTATTGTATGTGTGTGTGTGTGTGTGTGTGTGTGTGTGTGTGGTGTGTGTGTGTGTGTGTGTGTGTGGGTATCATTTTTATTACCATTATTATTATCATTGAATATATTGCTTATAAAATAAAAAAAAATTTCTAAATTTATATTGATATTTTTTTTCACTACTATTATTATTATTATTAGTATTGCCAATAATACTACAGTATATTTGATATAACATACAAACTGATCAAAACTAAATAAAAATAACTATCAATTGTTGTCATAAATTCATTCATTCAATACTATTACAGTATTATATGTGTATTGTATTGAATTAAATTAAACGCTATTATTATTATTTTTATTACAATCTATATATAAATTTTTATTTTATTTTTTTTATTGTTTAATAAATTACATTAAATTATATATAAATTTTGCGGAAAATAATTTGGTTTTATATATACTCTCTCTCTCTCTCTATCTCTCTCTCTCACTCACTCACTCACTCACTCACTCACTCACTCACTCACTCACT